ACTCTGTCTCAAAAAAAAAAAATAAATAAATTAAATTAATCATCCAGACCTTTTATATTACTTATTTAATTTTTAAGGATTAGCACCCAAATGAAATCATTAAAATTTTTTGTGGAACTCACAGTGTGAGGCTTATTATCTCAATCTATGGTAAAACGTACTTCTTTCCTGAAAGTCTCTTAATTAGTAAATAGCTCTCATATTAGATCTCCTGAGAACTATGCAAGCTTGTGGAAAAAAATTGGGGGAGCGATTAAGTCTTTCATCAACTTGGAGATGGTACCACCCAGCAGCTGCCTGGCCCTCATACATATACTGGGTATGTCCTTCCAGAAACTGTAGAAAGCCATTCTATTGCATGTGTGTCTGTGTGTTTATGCACAGGCTCATGATTTTGTGCATTGTCACCTTTAGAGTCTGTGTGGCAGTGTGCTCCACTAGTAGTGTTGTGAGAAGAGGGTACAGTGATCTGGGGCAAATAGTTCTTCCTAGTTCAAATGCACTCAAGGGCCAACTTGAGCCATTTTGTAGTAATATTTTCTTTTCATTTATAAAAACTAACTAGAACATACATGGATAATCACAGCAGTCTAAATTTTCTTTTTTTACTTTTACCCGATAGATGATGGTCTTTGGTTTTTATGACTGTTGGATAGCCTAGTTTTGTTTTCAGCATACTTGAAACTGATTTCTTACTCAAGTCTCCATTCTTCTTGTTTTAATTTCTTTTCTTATTTGCAGCTGAATTTGTGATCAGTCTTGCTGAGAAAAATACCACCTTTGATACTTTTAAGGCTTCTCTGGTCAAAAATGGTGCAGAATTCACGGTATGTATATCTGGAGACTTTTAATCTCTAGATATTAATGTTTTAATTTATGGAGTTGTTTTCTTTTCCTGTTTTTTTTCTTAGACCTGTTTTTTGTACATAATTTGTGTTTTAATGTCACTATTGAATTTAAATTTTGATAAGATTTAATATAGGATTTTGGCATAGGAAGGAAGCAATTTGTACATACCAATTAAATAAGCCATTAAATGTGTAATGTTTTCATGCCATTAAACAGTGGTGGTGTAACTGAATTTCCTGTGACACCTTTCTAGGAAAACAGGGCAGAATATCTATCATTAAGTTTTTGTAGGTATTTATATTCTTATTCTGTGAGTGAAGAAGTCAGAAACAAGAGTCTAGGTTTTGGGGATAGTTCTAAACTACAGGAAATAAGATGGTTGCAGGGAGCTAAGTAACTTTTCTCCGCAAAGAGTCCTAAATATCAGCTCTCTCTGAAGCTACTTTCCTAGCTTCATGCTATACCAGGTTTACACTCTATGCTCCATTTGTTCCAGTTAGTTAATTTCTGGTCCATAACCACCCTTCCCTAAAGGATGTTCTTTGCCTTTTCCTTTTTGTAAGCGTATTTAAGCACTGATCCAGGAGCTGACAATTATTTTTATGTTTTTTTTCAAAGGATTCTCTTATTAGTAACTTGCTACGTCTCATACAAACCATGCGGCCTCCAGCAAAACCTTCTACCAGCAAAGGTGAGCAGAGCTTCCAGCTGAGCTTAGTCTCCAGAATGGTTAGATTATGAGCATCCTGTAAACTGCATTTGTTTTCCTCTCAGCAGCTGCTGAGCAAGTAAATGTTCTAGTAAAATTTTTCAAATGATGTAAGACAAAATTAAAATTATAGTACATAAGCAAATGAATACTATGCATCTCTTCCCTGCTACGTGCCCAGATAGTTTGTTGAGGATTTTGTGGTCAAATTTTTTAGAAAATTAAATTATGTTTACAGTAATGTGTATGATTAGCATGAAACAAAATGCCATGTTCTGTTTCAGTGTGATGCAAATCTAATGTTGAAGTTAACCGTTAGTAATATTAAATATATCTTTTTTAATCCCTTCATGCTCTTTAATGAAACAAGATCCAGTTGTTAAACCGAAAACTGAAAAGGAAAAGCTGAAGGAACTCTTCCCAGTCCTTTGCCAACCAGACAACCCTTCTGTCCGGGTACTGATACCAGTTTGAGAATGTCTACT